AAAAGAAATTTGACGTGAATAAAAAAAATAAATGAAAGAGGACAGAGTACTGAGTAGATTGTTCGGGGGACGACAAGTGTCAATCGAGGTGGGGGGTCCAGACAGGAAAAGTTGAATATTATAAGATTGATGTCATTGATATTTTATGTGCACCCTCACATGTTGTCCATATCATCCATCTCGAATAGGGCAACAAGAAAACACTGCCATGGATCCTCTTAACACGTTTTTAGTTTTACTATGTTAATTAACAAACACAATTCCTATAAAACATGGTGAAACTTGTATGCACACACTGCTACATTCAGTTTACAGAGTGGGTCTCTACTAATGTTTTTATACCAAAAAAAACAAAAAGTTAAGATGAGATGGTTCTCAAGACTCGTTCGAGTCATATACATTTTCAGGTTATAAAAATATTTACAGAGATACTTACAAATCATGTGTTAATAAAGTCTTCATATCGATAACAGAATTTGAACTTATGACCATGTAGATCATGAGTCAATTCTTTACAAATTAGATCAACTCTTATCAACAGGTCTATATTAGGTTAAAGAAAAAAAAATCATCGATAATACTTCATTGTCATTTGTTACTCATGATTTGAATTTTTATTTGTTTCATTCCAGATTTTAAGATATATACCTTCTAGTTCGTAATATAAGACGTTTGTTAGAAGAAAACTGTACGTAACGTAAAATATAAAATGCTGTCAACATAATTTATGTGATTTTTTCATTTTCACTCCCATTAAATATCAGAGAGAGAAAAATAGATGAGATATAATAAAAGTATAACATTAAAAACAATTTTATCATTTTAGGGGCAAAATATGAAAATTGTATCATTCTAGAACAGTGACTAAACTTCTAATTCTTAGCATGTGAGAAAAACTAACCAATTTTTTATATTATAGACCAGAAAGAGTAATAATAAACTACGAATTAAAAGTAGTTCTTATATAATTCTCAAATTTTGCCTTTATTTTGTTTCTGGTCCATGTGTTCTTATGAGGGCAAAGTAACGAAACAAGTATCATCCAGTTTAGTAAAACAATTTAAAATGTAATCTCATAAAATTGTCGATGTATCAATTGAATAGATAAATCATGGCAAAAAAAAATTGAAGAGATGAAATTAAAGACTCGATATCTTATAAGTTAAAAAAAATATCAAAAGCTCCTTCCTAACACTTCTGCGGTAAGTATGATCTTATGTTTTTATTATAAGTCGTTTCCACAAAAAGTGAATAAGTTCAAAAATACAAGTTACCTAGCATTGTGTAAGGCCATTAGAGTGCTATTTCAACTTTAATTAATGTTTAATTATTAATTCTGTCCCTGTAACTAACATACTCCTCCGGTCCTTATACTGGTATGTATAAGAATCTTATATCTAGGACCGAAAAAATAATACTCCCCCGACCCTTAATGTAAGACCCATTTAACTAATTTGATTAGATTAAGAAAGTTAGGTAAGTTAGTTAATTATAAGAAATGTGACACATTTTTCCTAAAATACTATAATTATCTTTTTTATATACCCATCTTCCTCTTCTACTTGATTATGTTTGAGGGAATATCTATAGGGGTAATTTAGATAAAATTGATAAATATAAAAAATGAGTCTTATATTTAGGACCAAAACCAACTTAATAATTGAGTCCTATATTAAGAACCGGAGAGGTATTGTTTTTGTTTAATATATTAAAATGAGCAGGCATGGTGGGGATACGTAGCAGTTAAGCCATGGCGACTCAAAACTCGAAGACTTGGGAATGGTTCGGGATTGGTCCATACTTACCAAATTGACTTTTTTTTAACCATTGGATATTTTTGGGAATTCGAGGCATCCTTTGAAAAAGAAGAAGAATCTTTGCTTACTGTTCTTAATTCCCACCTAACTTGGTCTCCCCCCATTTTGACTGTTTGGTCGATGGGAAAATTTTTCTTTATCAGGATAAAAAAATAGAGTATAGAAACAGACGAATAATTAAAAAGGGGGGGAACGTGAAACATGAGAAAGAAGAGACGACAATAAGGATGACCCAACATTTTTGTGTCCAAATCACTTCACAAATCAAAAGCCGAGTGATTGGAAAGAGTAATCACATGCTTGCCGATTTCAAAGTGAGAGACTGAACTTTAAAAAAATTGGTTTAAAAAGTAATTTTTTTTAAAACAAATACTTTCATATAATTCGAATAAAATTTCTCGCATACGTTTATCTTGAACATCATAAAATTATTTTTAAAAAATGACCCAAACACCTTCTAAATGAATTTGAATTAATTATTCTTTAATTGTTCGTAACACATTTTTAAGTATGTGCAGATAATTTTAAAATTTTTTTGACACGGCCGCCATTGAAGAATAGTTGCATTTCTTGAAAATAGATTTCACCATGTCATTTTAGCTGATAAACGTTTTAAAAAGTTATTTTTAACCAAATTTCTGAATGAAATTTTAAGGATATGAATTTACTATATATTTTTATGAAACTCAGAATATTTTAAATCATTTTAAACTTGAAATTAATTTTTGTCAGATTAAGAGTATTAAGACTAAGATTTTTTTAGTAAATATGTTTTTCAAGATTCGAATTTGTTTCTCTTTCTTGTGATCAAAATTATTATCGAAGAACAAAGTTTTGATGGGAACGCCACTCCTGCAATGGATTGAAATTGTGGCTGCGTAACAGGGTAGCGTACTTGTCAATCACGTGTGGCCACCCTTCATATCATCAATTTTGTCCTTTTCCTCACTATTATACTAGTATCATGTAATTTTTTTTGTTCTCTTGTATTTATTGTTAATTGTTTCTTTCTCTTCAATAATTTTACCCTCCAAACTCATCGGATACCTTTCTATATCCCCTCTTTTTACGCCTTGATACGGCTTCAGCAGTAACTGAGCACTCCCTCCATTACGCAGGGTGTTTTTTTTAAAAAAAAAAAACAATTTCATGTTTCGTGAAAAACAACAGTAACAATGTCACGAAACAAAAAAGTAGGGGAAAATTCAAAATAGTGAAAATAGGACGTGCATGTTCATTGAACCCTCTGGATTTTCGAGCATAAAAGCCCACTTTTATAAAAGCCAGTTCACTGACACTGAAGTTTGTTCTTTGTTGGATAAGACGACTTGGGTTTTTTCTGTTCTTTTCTTTACACTGTTCAAACTGCGTTCATAGCTTTGCCTTTTTCACAAAGACACTCGCAAATCCAACAAGTTTTCTTCTCATGCGTTAATGTCTTCCTTCCCCATTCCTGCTAGTATTTCCAGGAACAGCCGCGGAGTCATAAAAAATGTCCAGTGGAAGTGAGAAAACGTCGACAAAGCTAAGGACTAAGCTTGCTGTTGCGGTAAAGAGCATTCAATGGAGCTACGGCATTTTCTGGGCATCTTCCTCTACCAAGCAACGGTAGAGAAAAAACCCATCTTGGATTTTTGTGTTTTCTTCACTAACATTCTGATTGTTCAGCTTCAATTTTGTTTGCCTTTGGGTTAAAAGTACTTCTTGCTGGAGGGTTTGGCTGATTTTTGATAATGAGAATCTCAAACATCAACAAAACACTATCTGTCTTCATTCCCATACATATAGAGCTCACATTCTGAATTGTTAGGGAAGTTTAATGGTTGTAAATCTGATGATGGTAACAGTTATAACAATGTATTGTAAATAGTTGTGGATTTTGCTCATAAACAAACAGTAAGATATCAGATTATGAACTGTCACAGGAGTTAGATTGTCACAGATTTGAGGAAAACGAAAATGACTTTGATCTGGAGCCCGGAAAAGCAACTAATATAAAATATTGTAAATTTGTTCTTTCTTTTGTCGGGAAAGTGAAAAAGTGGTTGCATTTTCGTGATATGGAAAAGAAAAAGATGCCAATGAGAGAGAGGTCATGTGTAATCATAGCACAAGATATCTTTCTTGACTTTCTCTTTTCCTTTTTCTTGGTGAGATTACCTCTTTGCTTAGCTCGACTAATGTGAATAATGTGATCAACAGAACATTGGAATGGAACGAAGGGTACTACAATGGTGAAATCAAGACAAGGAAGACAGTCCAATCCATGATGGAACTAAAGGCTGATAAAATAAGGTTTCAGAGAAGTGAGCAACTAAGAGAACTCTATCAGTTTCTTCTTGTTGGCGAAACGGATTCGCAGGCTAAAAGGCCTTCTGCTGCATTATCTCCAGAGGATCTCACGGACTTAGAGTGGTACTACTTGGTTTGCATGTCCTTTATGTTCAACCACAGCCAAAGGTGGTCTTCTCTCATTTAGTTGTGTGTCACTTTCTTAGTCTATGTTGTCATTATAATGTTTCTCGTTAGTCTTATATCATTGTATCCCGTGTTGTCATTTTGTTCACCATAGTGTGTTCTTCTTTCATTGTCACAGTTTGCCTGGAAGAGCACTAGAAAAGGGTGAAACCATCTGGTTATGCAATGCTCAATATGCAGACAGCAAAGTTTTCTCTCGTTCTTTGCTAGCAAAGGTTAGTTTCTTTTCTCTTTCCTTCCTTCCTTTGCATTTTCGGTGATTGATTTCTGAATTAGTCTCCGGACAATGCTTGAATTCTCTAATAAAAACATGACACGTGAGTTCATTTGCAGCTCACTATCATATGATTGAGCATTTTAAGGTTCCTTCATATGTTGTGCTTTTATTGGAAAATGTGATGCTAAACACCAAATGATTTTTATTTCATTTCACCTTTTTTCTTAGTTATAACTGATGTCATTGCTAGATAATTCTGTTTAGAGAAAACTGACTGTCCTCATCTCTGTCAATTTTATCGTCTGGACATGGGAACCATCTGCCTTATGTAGAGTGCATCAATTCAGGTACAAAAATTTCCTCATAGCTGTCGAAATGGTACTTGTTTCGTCAGTAGCACAGTAAACAGTTACTAGATTTGGGGTATAGTTGTTTTTTCGAAGATCTTTAGAGTTCAAAACTTCAAGACATAAAGATTCTTAAATTCGATATGGTGGGGAAAAAATGCTTATTTGTTCACCATTTACTAAAGATTTACTAATAATTTCACCTCCCCTTTCTCCTACCTTATGACAGATAAATATTGATATTAATCTCCCTGCTGTCTTTTGAATCCTCTCAATTGCAGACTGTGGTGTGTTTTCCCTACCTAGGGGGCGTTATCGAGATAGGCACAACTGAGTTAGTAAGTTTTCCATTTTCTTGCGCCCCATTGAAGAAGCTTCCTTTACCTTTTTAATATTAAAAATCCATGAAGATGTGCAGAAGATAAGTGGTCAGTACTCGAACTTTATGCCATTTTCCTTTGTCGTTTGTAGGTCCCAGAGGACCCTAATCTCATCCAACATGTCAAAACTTGCTTCTTGGAATTCTCAAAGCCCATCTGCTCTGAAAAGCCTTCCTCTCCATTTAACAAAGAAGATGAAGATAAATATCCAACATGCGCCAACATCAATGCTTGGACATCGAATGATTATGATACAACGACTTTGGAAAACCGATGTTCCCCTACCAAGGAACTACAAGATAACAATGAAGAGTTTAACATGGATTCTTCTGAGGAATGTTGTAATGGTTGTGACCATCACTGTCAGGTGGAAGGCTCTATGTTTGAGTGCATCAGTGGTGCACAAGATTCCTTGAGTTCTGGGGATTGTATATCTGAGGCACTTGAGAAGCAAGCCAAGGAAGCTACAAATGCAGATCAAGGTCAGTTAAGACTAACAGAACTTCATGACTGCAATCACTCAAAACTTAGTTCCTTGGGTATTGGAATCGTTGAAGACGTGCACTACACAAGGACTCTCAGTGCTCTTTTGGGAAACGCTATGATGTTTAAAGGACATTCACACGCTAGGAACTCGAATTGGAGGTCGAGTTTTGCACCATGGAATAATGGGAGAGCTGCTGAGAGGGCGAGGCAACAGTTAGACCAGAGCATGTTGAAGAAGATTTTGTTCACTGTCCCTTTGATGCATAACAGATTCTTCTCTTCCAGGTCACCAAAACAACGTGATAGAACAGAATTTCACAGAAAACTGGATATTGATGATCATTGTGTGGGGAAGTCTTTATCTGATGAAAGAAGAGAAAGTGAAAACTATCAGGTTCTCAAATCTATGGTCCCTTCTATAGACGAGGTATTTACGTTTCATCTTAGAAGGATCATGTCACCGCATGATTTGAGTGACATTTTCATGCTTGTGTGTCATTGGATGAACTTTCGTGTTTAAGTCAGAACATCCTTAAGAATGGTTTCTATGTTTAACAGCTTTAGGCTTAGTTTTCTAAGTCATGGAAGTCCTTCTCAAGTCTTAAGAATATGAAAGTTTGTAGGTAGAGATTTCAAGACCACTGAAACAGCTTTTCTTCAATTTGCTTTTGCCTTGTGTTTGGTCAGGCTTAGTTTTTGTATCTCTTGAACCATTTTCCCGTGGATGTTGATGGTGAACTTGCAATCATATGCAGGTGGACAAGATTTCTATCCTCAATGACACGATCAAATACATGAAAGAGCTTGAAGCAAAAGTGGAAGAACTAGAATCTTGCACGGACATTGCAGATTCTGAAACCACAATGAGAAGCTCAGAAGTTATGGAGCAGACATCAGATAACTGTGACATCAGGAGAGTTTTCAAAGCAAGGAAACCTCAGACGAACAAGAGGAAAGCTTGTAACATTGATGAATCCGGCTCAGACTTAAACAGCATAATCATTAAAGAAGGTAAATCATGGGACGTAAAAGTGGACATAAAGGAGAAGGAGGTTGTGATTGAGATGAAATGTCCTTATAGGGAGTTCATATTGCTTGAAATCATGGATGCTATAAGCAACGTGCATTTAGAAGCTCACACAGTTCAATCTTCAACAGTTGATGGATTTCTCGTACTGACACTTAAATCTAAGGTTTGTGTCATCCTTAATTCCTTAAATCTTCATACACAGATACACATATTTCTTGTTTTCACTATCAGTATGGTCCTAACGTGGAATAAAATGCTATTCAACGGAGTTAGTTTACGCAATCTACATTGCATACATAATTTTTGGTGTTCCCGGAAGCTCTTGCTTCTGCTATAGAGTAACTTTATTGGAGAACCAAACAGTAAACATAATTCAAATTTTATACTCAATGTAGTAGTAAAGTTTGATATCTTTACTGCTTTATTTCAGTTTCGAGGAGCGGCCATTGCACCAACGAGGATGATCTATGAAACACTATGGAAAGTCTGTGACAAAACTTGAGCTTTTTGTTTGGATTTTATTGGCGGTAACACTTGAGATTATGTAACTCCTGGCAAATCTTTAATTTCAGCCATACTGTTTTTAACATCTCAATCAGTTTTGTAATTTGACATGCCTTGGCATGATTTGTTCTTTTCTACATAAAAGTGTTCACTGCAGGATTAAGGCCAAGATATTGCTTGAAAAAGTTACATAGTACTCCTTCAGTTTTTAATATAGGATCTAATTGTTAAGTTAATTTTGATTCTAAATATAAGACCTATTTTTTATATTTATCAATTTTTTTAAAATTATCCATATGGATACTACCTCAACTATAATCAAATAAGTTAGGGAGGAAGAATATTAAGAAAGATGATTATAGTATTTTAGAAAAAACGTCATATTTCTTATAATTAAATAACTTATATAATTTTTTTAATCTAATCAAATTAGTTAAATAAATTTTATATTAAGGATATTAGGAACAGATGCAAGTATGATTTATAATTTTGCAACTTGTTTGATTGAAGTATGATTAATGCAGATCAGCCTGCATGAAGAATACGGTGATCATTTGGTATTTACGTAAGTTAATTCTCATCATTATTAGATCCTTTTACGCGTGAAATTTATCCCTTATTGGCAGTTACTTTGCGCTGATTTTAGTTCATCATTATTTTATGTGTTACCGTATGAAGTCTCATTGGCCTGAAGTCATTACAGTGAAGTTTATATTTTAGTCCTGTGCATGCTGGCCTTTTTTTTCCAATTTTTTTGGGAATTGTAAACTAAATGCATAATGAGAAGGAGTATTTTGATTATGGCTGGAATAATCTAAACCGTATGAAAATTAAATAAAAAGCATGCTAACAACCATATCTTTGTACCCTTATTTAAAAAAAAAAATGCAATGGGAACTTTATATTTTAAGTTAGAATAACTCCTTCCATGTGCTAATTTTTTAAACAATAAAGATAACGAGATATAGAAGTAATATAAAAAAAAGCCGAAAATTCAATGCCAACATGTGAATGGTGACAATAACTCTAATTTTATAATATAAATTAATGTATTGATTTGTTGAGGTTCATGATTTATTAAAACTTGATGAAAAAAATCACTAATAATTAAAATTCATGTATTTTAATAATATTATAATTAAATAATTAGATATATACATCCGGTCTTAAATTTAAGATCTAATTTGTAATTACAAGCTAGATCTTATATTTAGGACCAAAAGTAATATGCGTATCACATACTAGTTGAAGATTTGATGGTTAGATAATAAAAAAATGCTGCCCCCTCTTATTCTAAATGTAAACATTAGTTGAGGGTTTATTTTAATTCTACGTGTAAAATTTATTAATTTATTTTATCTTTGGTATTTATTATTTTTTTCAAATTATTTTTATTAATACTCTCTCAACAACAATGAAACACAACAATAATTCAAATGCAATCATACATGTATTTTAGAAAAACCTATAAATAATTTTGTAAGAAACCTAACCTGCCAAATTTTATTAATATATGTAAATTAATTAATTTGTCTTTACATTTAGAATTAGAAGAAGGGATATTTTATTTCACTCAGAAGAAAATAAAAGCATTCATACAGAACGGTTACCATCGACCAAATGCCAAATTATGAATGAAACAAATCATTAATCATAATCATAATCATTGTCATTGCCTAGTTGATGCTTTCTTCTAAACAAAAGCATGTTAAATAAGCTCATGCGAGGATGACATATTTGGCTCATAACATATTAACATTAGGGTGATCAATATTTGTAACCAGCTCAGGTCTTAAAAAGCAGTCTTTAACAAGATCAGATCTTAAAATTTTAGTTCTTGACGGAATAATTTTAATTCAAATATAAATTTATAAGTTTCAAATTTGATTTCTTTTTATTTAAATAAATAACATTGCACAGACGGAACATATATTATGGGTGTGTTTGGGTGACACCCCAAACCATGGTTTGGGGTGTCAATCACCCAAACACCCCCTCTAAAAAAAACCAAAACCATAGTTTTGGAAAAAAGCAAAATTTTTTGCTTTTGGAGAAAAAAGGGAGAGTGTGAGAGCCTATATGATATGTATCTTGTTATTTTTTTATAAACATATTTTTGATAAACATATTTAATCTTATATTTTATAAATATATATACACATTAATTTATTTATTAATTATCTTATGTATGTATTATTAATTATGTTGGTAAAAAATATATTATTAACAATTTTATTCCTTCAAATTAAAATATATCATAAAATCTATTTTTTCTGTAATTATCATATTAACTTATGTCTTTTTTTTAGTAATTTGTATATATAAAAAGTGCTTCTGATAACAACTATCCAAACACTCTCACTTCTCAGAATCACTTTTTTACAAAATCTATTCTTCACAGAATCTATTCTACCCAGAATCACTTTTCCAAACCACGGTTTGGTTTCATCCAAACACACCCTATAAAAGGTTTTGAAAAATCATTTTATAACTATAATAAATTTTTTTTTTAAAGGAAGTTCAACCGACTCTGTATAAATCCAGCTAAAAGTTGGGTAGACATTTGCAAAAGTAAACTAATATTATATATAGACAGTGTGTAAGCATTAAATTAAGGTTCGTCATTGCTATCTTTTTTTTTGGGCCTGTCATTGCTATCTCGATAGTAGTTTTTCTTCCCATGGGCAATGGAGGCGATCTGACCAAACATCCAACTGTAGAAGACTGCATAATTGTCGGCTATTCATTTTTCTAAAGACAAATAAATAGTAGTCGTACTAATAATAATAATAATAAAATATTTAGGTAATTATACTACATTTGTCAATACTAATTACTACCTCCGGTCCTAATTATAAGAGTTAGTTGACTAATTTGAGGAGATTAAGAAAAAAAGTTAAGTTAGTTATTTGTAATAAATAGGTGGTATCTTTTCTAAAATATCCTTACTAATTAAGTGTATTGGTTAGAAGGACTATCTTAAAAAAAAATACATAAATATGAGAGACAAAATGGATTAAAGACTTATATTTAGGATTAAAATAAAAGTCAAATAAAGTTTTATATTAAGCACAGGAGGTAGTGGTTGCATTTTTCAAGAATCACTGTTATTGAGCAATCTCTTAATAATCCCATTTTCACATTTTTTATCAAAAAAATTTGACGCACCGCCCAGATTGAAAGGTCAGGTAAAAAGGATCAAAACAAACCTTCCGGAAAATTCATGTAAAAAAAAGATCGGGTATAAAAAATTGTATGATTTTTTTGACCAGAAAACATTGTATGATTTATAGATTAGCATAGTGCAATAGTTTATCTCATCGGCTTCATGCACACTCTTCAACCCCAGGAAGGTTCTAGCTCTTACCTTTACAATTCAGCTTGGATGCTTGACTTTAGGGCATTTAAATTCATCATTATTTACTTTTCAGGTCAAAAACACACTAAGACACACAAAAATTGACATTATTATAAAGATAAGCTCAGTAGCAAGCATATATTTTCATTTGTATCATCCATAAGAATGATGACTTTGAATTGATTTTTGATATTTTTTATAGTCTTGCTGCATCAGTACTTAGTAGACCCAGCCAATTTGAGGTTGGATACTAGTACGCTGATAGATATGTCTGATTGACAGATGTTTATGATATACTCACATATCTAATTATGATTCACTTCGTTTACTCAATACTTTTCAATGAGTTTACATGTGAACATATTTAAAAGCACAAAATATGTCCAAAACGAAAGCCCAACTAAAATTCATACCATTTAAACCTTGTAATTTCAGTTGATTAAGGGGGTGTTTGGATGAAAACTAACTCATAATTTTAAAAGTAATTTTACAGTATAAGAAGTAAATATGTACAAGAGGTTGTCTTAATTTGCAAAAAAAAGTGTTTTTTAAGAGCACTTTTGAGGTATTCCACACACGTCCTAAATATCATCTCAAGATAAAAATTTCAATGAAGGCTAGAATTATATATATATATGGATAAAACACATAATTAAAGTTTTATTCATAATTGAATATATGTGTCTATTTTTAACAAACGAAACCCTAATGGCCACTTAAGGGTTGAGCCTTGATCCCAGCAAAATCTGCAACAGTGAAACCTACTTTTTCAAACCTTCCCTTCTCATTATTCTCTCTGAATTTCAAATACTCCGAGCACACAAATGGCTTGTATAACCTCTTGCATCCCTCTCCAACCACTTCATCTGGTGCCACAACGACCTTCTCATCCTCAAAGCACCAGAAGAAAGCCAGAGAAAACCTATTCACAGGCTGTTTCAGAACCACCCTATGCTCAGAAGATCTTAACTTCTCATTGCTCCAAGCTTGAAGCATATCCCCTATGTTCACCACAAGTGTGCCTTCTGAAGGGTCTATGTCTACCCAATTTCCCTCCTTTGATCTCACCTGGAGCCCTCCTATGTCATCTTGGTATAATATAGTGATACAGCTCATATCTGTGTGCTTTCCAAGTCCTTCAACTTCTTCCGTGGTTTCTGGAGCAGAGTAGTTGTTTATCCGTAGGTAGCCATGGCAGTTCTTGAACTCTGCTTCATAATATTTCTTCTCATATCCTTCTCCTAGACTCATCAGCACAACCTTCAGGATTTTCTCCGAAAGTTCTGCCATCTTGTTTCCATATTCATGAAGTATCTCACTGTACAAAACATAGAGAAGCAATCTTAAAGCTCAATCATATATTTGCAGAAAAAGAGTGAAAAAGCACAGAGGCTTCAGACAAATATACAGGACATAGCAAACAATAGTTGGATTGAGTAAAAAGAATTTCATTCCTCTCGAGTAAGATCTCTTTTGTCAATAAAATAATCACGCTAAAAGAGATATTCTCATTTTAGGACCAACAATACTTAAATATGAAAAGTTGGTAACATAGAATGCTGGATAGTTTTTACCAAAAATATAATAGACATGACATGATGTGATTGGAAATACCGAAGTATACTTTGACGATGCGTTTGAGAGTTAAGAAGGAATAAATCCCAAAAAGCCAAAAAAAAAAAAAGAACAAATGGAAGTGAAAAATTGAAACCTTACCTAAATTCATAGTTTTGTTTGCCAAGGAGGACATCTGCAGAACTTTTAGCAGAAACATAGAAGTTAGGCCCATTAACTCTGAGGCTCTCAAAGAAAGGAGAAGCAATGAAGTGAGGAGTGTAAGATTTTAGGGAGGAGAAAGGGCCAAGTTTGAGCTTAGTATCAGAAGGGAGGCTGAAGAGGAATTGAGACAATGAGTGAAGCTTTCTGAAAAGATCTTTGGAGATTCCATGATTGACTATGTGAAAAAATCCCCAGTCTTTGCAGGCTTTCGAAAGGGAAGATAAAGAGGATGACTCTAGTGGCTGAGAAATGTCTAATATGGGAAGATCAACAGAGAATCTGGGCTTAGACATTATGGTCTAGGATGTAGGAAAAGACAGGGGGGGTATCTTGCACCTATGTTTCGGGTTATTTAATGTACAGAAGGAGAAGGTTGGTCAGAAGCTTAGAGATGAAGAAGAAGGCCTCTTTTTCATTTGTCAATCAAAGGGATGAACTTCCACCAATGATTTATAGCACAACACCAAAAACTAATTTCATAGAGGCATGGTCCCTTGTGTAGCGTTTGAATAGTCTTAAAAATCAATTTAATACAAAATTTCTTCAAAACAATTTACATTATAATATATAACACACGCTTTGCATGAAGATTTTTTAAACTTCAAGCATGGACAAAACATAATTTTATTGTAATTAATATGTTCAAATAAGTGCTTGATTTAGAAAAAAAATCTAATATAATTTTATGTGTTACTTTTAGCTCAAAAATTCAAAATATTCTGTAAACACATATAAATAATTTTCTTATTACTAGATTGAGCAATAAAGTTTTATGTGAAAATCTTTCCACCTAAATCATGTCAGCTAAATTGTCGTGGTTCGAGTCCATTTGCTATTAGGTCTTTTCAAATTAGAATGTTGATCCACCCAAAGGCCAATACATATGATATTTAATTATTAATTAAAATATGAACAAAAATTAATGATTTAGTCTGAATTGAGTTGCCATGGGTGATCATTACTCTATGGCCATGATAATAATGAGATGCTACCACTTTGAAAAGGCTATCCTCCAACAAGGGGCATGCAAAGATACAAAGTTTTGTCCCTCAAAAGTGCATTTAGTTTTTTCTCTCTCTAATGTGCTGAAAGAAAGTTTGACAAAAAAAAAATGTGCTGAAAGAAAGATATTACTCAAAATATTTTAATCAATGTATACCCGCTTCCACACAAAAATGCATGGAAAAACATATAGACTTGTAATAATACACACACTAGGAAAAAAAATTCAAGAAAGAAGTAATTTGATATAACTGAGGGGAGAAAATGATAAATAACAGGACTAGTTAAAAATAGCAGAGACAAATGGAAGGTGTTCCAGATAGATCCTATTATTAGTTTCTTATTCTGAATGGAATATAAGTTCATATTCATCATGGACAGGCTGGGAAGGAAGCACAACAGCCACAAGGAGTTTGTATATTCCGCTATTCATGGAGCTCACATTCTTTATCAGAAAGTTTTGATTTGACCAGCCTTGGTCAACACAAGCATCTGGAAGAGCTTGAGGATGAGTTTAAGTAATATATAAACAATTAAGTGAGGAGAAGTACAACCTACACAGATGCATTCTTCAGCTAAAGATGATTCAGATATGACTAGAGGTAGAGTGTGTTCACAGAAACAACAAGAACTACCAGCCATGGCCTCACAGAATTACTTAAAATTTGGGCATTAATATACTAAAAAATGCTCATGAACATATGCTATAATGCTATTATATCACTCGAAAGGCATGTGATTATAATTCCACGTTGAAGGAATGGAATTTGATATAGAATCTTTTGTGCATAATGGGTTTTTCAACCACACAGACTCACTTGTCATAGGTGAGTCCCAAAATATTTGTATTGATATTCGAGGCATCCATTAGGTCTGCTTTGTCATTGTGCAATTAAGGTGCGGTGATATTAGAGGTGTATCTATGTAGCTCAGAATCCAATCAATTTTCTTCTTTTTTGGTGACAATCAATTTATTTTGATTCAATCACATTGAATCAAGTCAGGTCTGATCAAAAATAAATCTATAGGATCGAACTGAACCATTGGGCTCGTCTTAAGGGCTAACATGGTTTAACGAACATGATCACTTTCTTCCTTTTAAAAGTTTTTTTTTTTCAAAAGAGAAACTTTTATGAGACTCGTAGGGAAATTCTAGTTTTTTTACAATGAAAAAACTACAATTGTCGGGACTTCTATGAAATTCTTTAAGAGTCGCCGTGTAATTTTTACTGGGGGAAGAAAACCATCCAGATGAGTTAAACCACACTTTCAAGCTCGATTAAAAAGAGTATGATTTTGAACTAGATCAAAAACTTAATCCAGCTTTTGAAAACACCAATATGGCCATCAATACTGCTATGGGGGTAGAGGATAGAGGCTAGTTTCATTCTAATAATGGCAAGGTATGAGAAGAAATCCACATGAAGAGTGTGATTAAGAATCAGAGGTAGCATTGCAAAATTAGATTGAGGCTAAAACTTTGATGCAAAGTCACCAATTAAAAAAAAAAATTATATGAACTGCAAAACATATAAAATTTTATATTATCATATATAATATGAATCATAAATCTTATAGAGAGAGAGAGAGAGAGAGATTTTAACGTGAAGTTCTTTTTTTTTTTGGGGGCCAATAACGTGAAGTTCATTTGAATCTTAATTAAACTCACAAACAGCATCCGGATACAACATATATGCAGAGTGCGGAAGAATCTTTGATAAATCTATATATGCATGTGGGCAACTACACCAATCAAAAATTGAATTATTAAAGTCAAAGATTCATTGATAATATCCTACATTCACAGGCTTCGAACATGTACAGGCATCTAGAAAACCATAGGTGCCCAAGATTAATATATTCGTCAGCACACAGACTTGGTTCAAGGCTTTAAGGTCAGCTAGGCTCAATCTCAAACAGTTAATCTGCACACAAATGATTCACTCGAAGACCTGTGCCTGCTAATTAAGACCAGACACCAATCAGACAAAATGATGTCCAAAACATTATAGGATTGACCTAAGGAAGAAAGACCGCGTTCCAAATCACAAGGGAATCCAAGAAAGCAAGGGGCAGAATCTGAGCACTAGATTGCCGGGAAACAAAAAGCTAGGATTTAATAATTGAAAATGTCCAAAAAGGCAGAGAAGATGGAACATTGAACGCAAATTTGGTATAGTGATCACTTACGCATTCGACGTAGAGTGGTGATATTGGACTTCGACCGAACACTTCCAATCGCCACCATTTTCACTGCTTTCATGATGATCAGAATTTATTTGGATCGACCGAACCCCATTTAGGATTGTCGCGCGTTATGGCGACAAAGTGAAATGGGACTGTACCCCATAACACGTAAAACAATATATTAACCGTTAAAAGAAGCAAGCAGGAACACAAACCATAAGAAGTGAAAATGACAAATAAGAAAGACGCTTCATGAGAAAGTTATAATTTGAAAGGAACATAATACAAACTGTAAAACAATGAGTTGGCCAAAAAAAAAAAAAAACTGTAAAATGTTGAAGGGTAACTATATTGCTGTTAACTCAAGAATCAACCCGATAAATTCGTTAAGTCGTTTGTAACAATGAAGAATGAGTTGCTAATAAGTACTCCTCCGGTCCTTATTATAAGACCCAATTTGACTTTTTATTTGGTCCTAATTATAAGACCCAATCCATTTTCTCTCTTATATTTATGCATTTTTTCCAAGATAATCCTTCTAATAATGATAGTTTTAGCCAATATACTTAATTGGCAAGGATATTTTAGGAATAACAACATTTATTTATTATAAATAACCAACTTAACTTACTTCCTTAATCTCCTCAAATAAGTCAATTGGGTCTTATAATTAGGACCGGAGGAGTATTTCACGGACTGTGTTCTCCACACATCCTAATCCAAGTTACAAGACATAAGAAATATTATTGTCTGACGCCAACTCTATAATTAAAATTAGAAATAAATGATAAATATGGAAGCTTACGACATAAGAAAAGTCTGAGAAGATTGGAGGGGTAGGGGAGGGAAGGGGAGGTTTCATCCTCACCTTGTTTGGTTTGATTAAAAAGGAGGGGAGGGGAGGGCATTTAATGATCCCTTGTTTGGTTCAAGGAGGGGAGGGGAGGGGAGGGGAGGGATAGTAATAATCAATTGACCATTTTACCCTTACATATTAGTTTATGTTTTATTGATATATTATATAAATTAATTTACATCTTAATTAAATTATATAATTTAATAAAAATTCAGTCTTACCATGTTAATATGTGTATTAAAAATTGGTATAGTAATTTTTTATTCTAATTAATATAATAATATATTTAAAATAATCAAATTAACAAATTTTATATGCTATAAGAAAAATGAAATTTTATTTTCTTTAGGCTATCTTTTTTTCCAGCTTTAAAATATATTTAATAAATAATATATTTATAAAAAACAATTAATTTTATAATATTATAATTTTTTATTTAAATATTTTTTATTTTTAAATAACTTTTATAATATATTTTTAATTATGATAATGTATATATTTTTTATTTTTTTACTTAGGATAATATATTTTTTATTTGAAATAAATATTATAATAATATATTTTATGGGAGAAGTGGAATATTAAAAAAGCCATAAGGGCATAATGGTCCAAAATTTTGGCTCCCCTCCAAAAACCCCAATTTGGAGGGGAGTCAAAATGGGGGGAGGGAGGGGAGGGGACATTTTAGCTCCCCTCCCCTCCAAAATTTTTAACCAAATGAGGGGAAGGGCTCATTTTCCCTCCCCTCCCCTCCACTCCAACCAAACACACCCTTAGGGTATGTTTGGCTCAATGAGAGGAAGGGGAGGGGAGGGGTAAAGAGAGGGGACATTTTAGGAAGTGTTTGGATGAAAACCAAACCATAGTTTAAAAGTGATTTTACTATATACGAAGTAAATATATGAAAACATTTATCTCGATTTATGAAAAAAATACTTTTAAAAAGCATTTCTAATAATAGCCAAACACCCTTAATGTGAAATAGTGCTTTCGTTTTCATGTGCATTTGCCGCCCGTGTCATGGCACAAAAAGCTGGGAAGTAGCAATTCTAACTTGGGCCCAACAGAGCTTGCGATTACAAGGATCTGCCCAGCCCATTGACAACATAGTGAGAAGCCCATTAATGAAACATAAATATTCCTCTTAATTTTTCATTTGACTTTGACCTTATTGAAAGAAGATGACATGCCCCTTTCACCCACAGAGATACTACCTCCGATTCTAATTATAAGAGCTAGTTGACTAATTTGAGGAGATTAAGGAAGTAAGTTGAGTTAGTTATTTGTCCTAAATAGGTGTTGTCTTTCCTAAAATATCCTTGCTAATCAAGTGTATTAACTAAAACTATAATTATTAGAAGGACTATCTTGGAAAAAATTAAGTAAATATGAGAGACAAAATGAATTGGGGTCTTATATTTAGGACCAAAATAAACGTCAAACAGGGTCTTATATTAAAGATTGGAGGTAGTAGCATTTATCAAATTTCTTCAAACAAGGAAGACTGGTTTTGCATCTCTATCTGTTTAAACACTTGAAGGATCCTTAAAGGATTTAATATAAATAGGAACATATCTTATTTTACACTATTCATTTCCGTCACAACTTTTCCTTTTGTGCAGCATCTTCATGCACACATTTTCTATATAGACAAGACAAACTTCGAATTACAACAGAATTCATGCATGTGCACACTCTAATCAAAACAAGTAAATTAAATTTGATCCGTGTCTTGAGATATTTGTCAATATATATGCAAAAATACACAAATACATAGTACAGTATGTTCAATTATACAGTTTACGGGGGCATGGCTTCCTTCAAATTCACGTTTGGTTGAGCCGTAAAGACAAGAAAGGGGAGGTGGAGAGAGAGGTGTGTGAAACCTGAAAAGATGGATTTGTAAGAGGGTGTTTGGATAGAAACCAAACCATGGTTTCAGAAGTGCTTTTACGGATTACGAAGTAAATATGTGGAGGAGGTTACCCCGTTTTACGAAAAAGTAATTCTGAAACCGTGGTTTCAGTTTTGCCAAACACCCCCTAAGTTTTGAACAAAGAAGCATTGCTGGCTTTCTTGTTATATTCTCTTAGCCCCTTTCATTTCATCCATACTTGTGCCACGGATTGCTATTCTTAAACATAGAAAACAGTTCTGAGACCAGTGATAAGCAGAGAGTTTTGAAAAAATATACTGGTTTACCTTGACTGATCATACTAATAAGGATTTATTAAACCTTTCAATTTGAGATTCTGGATTGCAATTCTTTTACACAGTTTTTTCTTGGTCTTTTGTTCTCTTAAAATATTTTCAAGATTAGAAATCTCTCAGTATTAATCTCTCTTAACTTTTAAATTATGTACTGTTTTTCTTAAAATTTTAGCTCCAGATAGTTATTCGCTTACATTTTATTTTCATTCATGTATTCTATTATGTATTATAATTTCATGCTATGTACAGCAAGTGTCATTTTGTGTCGAGATGGTCGTAACATTATTTCATGTGTCACTATTTTATTTTTTGGTTACAATAATACTGTTTCTAGTCTTTAATATAAGACATAATTAACTAATTTAAAAAAACTAGTTAAGTTAATTATTTGTAATAAATAGGTATTATCTTTCTTAAAATACTCTTACTAATTACGTGTATTAACGAGAATTACTATTTGATGAAATCTTTAACACATATAAACTACAAAAACTATTTTAAAAAAATAAATCTAAAAAATAAAATAGAAAAGGAGACTTATGTGTAAAAATAAATTAAAAGTCAAACAAACTCTTATATTAATTATTAATAAATTGATATTCGTCTTCCGTTCTCGCCTTTGCAGTTTTTGCAAGTTCAGCTTGATGCCAATATAGTACTGTTCTCCAATCACTTTCTTATTCTTTCCACAATACTACGGAAGATATTAGCCGTTTCTGCAAATGGGCCTTCCTTCTTCTTCAATCAACTTACAGATCACGGGAATCACAAGTCTGAACCATTTTTTCTTCTTCTTCGACTTTGTTCAAAGAAAAGCGTTCTTCTTTTGGAGGGAACTGCTTCAAAATGGGGCATTCGCTTCAAATTCAAATAAATTAAAAGTAACTTGGAAAAGAAAAACTGGGGACCGTTGCTTTTTTGGCTACCGTTGTCTTCGAATTTTTAAATTTCGGTTTCTTCATGCTTTATTCTTACTCCTTTACTGCGTTTTTCAGTCAATCATTTTGCGTCTCAATCTAAATACTACAAGCTTCTTTGCTTGCTTTTCGCTTTTCCATTTCCAGAAGCATAGAAAATTCAAAGCTTTTAACTCCCCCCCCCCCCCCCCACTTTTACTCTTTATCCCATCCTATTCGGAATTTAAGTTAAATGTTCGTTGTACGTTTAAAATAGTCCCACCTAATTATATGTCTCAGGGTGATCATACAGTTCTCAAATTGAGAGCCCACTAACCCCAATTTGACTCAAACTCTAATGATTACTATGTGCAGGTTTTGAGGATTTCACCATTACGTTCTTGAGCTGAGATGGCAAAATCATCAATCCATGATGAAAATCATGATGTGGGCTATAGGCCCTCGGTTTATTCTGTGGATCACAATGATCACTTAAGCAGAGAAACTCCTGAAAACTCCCCACTGAGTGGTGATTCTCTCGCATACTTTCCAAGTGACTCTGAGACTTCAAACTTCTCAGAGCCTGACTATGGCTATTCCAGTGAACCTTTGCCTTCTCGGTGGCCAGCGTCTAAACCCCGAGCTAATCTAGCTGGTGTTTCTGGGCTACCAGTGAAGCAGCAAAGGAATTCATTAAGTGATAAACTTGATGATGACCAAGATCTCTTATCTTCAGGTGGGGTTGCACATATTGCAGTTTAGGTGTTGGTAAAATTTCCCTTTTCTTGATAAGCAGCATCTGATGTTGGTTTTCTTGATTGTGTGAACATCGTCAGAGCTTGAAATGATGAAGGAGAGATTTTCAAAGCTTTTGCTTGGGGAAGACATGTCTGGTAGTGGGAAAGGTGTCTGTACTGCAGTAACCATCTCAAATTCCATCACAAACCTCTATGGTAATTCTTTCAAAGCAGCAATAGCATATTGATTTTTACGGAATTCAAGAAAAATTTATGGTTTAGCCACATGAATTTAAAATTGTGAACAGTTCCATTGTTGGAAACGTGCTTCTGTTATAGCTTAAACATTGGACAAACTGATTCTGGACCAAAACATGAAGTTTAAAGTGTATTTTACTGTTAATTCAATGTCATTAAACATATTTGAATTGGGGATTTTACTTTACAGCCACTGTATTTGGACAAAATTTGAAGTTGGAGCCTCTGAAGCCTGAGAAGAAGGTTATGTGGAGAAGAGAAATGAATTGCCTTCTGTCACTTTGCGATTACATAGTAGAATTTGCCCCAACTGCACAATACTTGGCAGATGGAACAGTCGTGGAGGTAAGGTTCCGTAAACAATAGCTACAATATTTAAGAATGTTATATAGATTCTCGGATAGACCTAGCCAACAAAAGATAAATAGATAAAACAAATAAAAAATCATGAAGACATTTAAAAACATGTTGGAGAAGAGTACCAGAAGTATACCTGACATGTTATGTATTTCCCTATGATCAGCTTGATGTACCCATCTTTAATACACAGTCTAAGAATTTTCATGATGATGATTAGAATCTTTTTGTATCTAATATATTGGTAGTGATGTATCTCAGATGATGACAAGCAGACCAAGATCAGATATTTATATCAACCTCCCAGCTCTGCGGAAGCTTGATGCGATGCTCATTGTAAGACAAAACTCACTCTTAGTGCTTCTAGTTTATGAAAACCCTGTTTCACTCCATTGACCTCATGGCTCATATACATAAATATTTTTATGACAGGAAATCTTAGATGGTTTCTATGATTCTGAATTCTGGTATGTGGAGCAAGGGAGCCTATCAGGGGACTCGACTCGTTCGCGTGCCAGCTCATTTCGAAGGATTGTTCAGAGAAAAGATGAGAAATGGTGGTTACCAGTTCCTTGTGTTCTCCCCGGTGGCCTATCTGATAAGTCAAGGAAGCACTTGAGAGAGAAAAGGGATTGTGCTAACCAAGTCCATAAAGCTGCCATGGCAATAAACAATAGCATTATCGCAGAGATGGATATCCCAGAAACATACATGGCAGGTCTTCCCAAGGTTAGGCCTCATTGATGATTCAGTCGTTGCAATTTCTTGTTCTGTTAGTCATGGTTCAAAATATTATCAAAATGAGTTTGTATATTTCTTTCTGTTGAGCAATTATTCAGCAGATTTCATCAAATTTGATGTCACTCAGTAAATGGTTTGGGATTTGGTTATTCAATTCCAGTAGGCAGTAACTTCTTTCCTGACTTACATGCTCATTGTGACAAGCTTCTATTGGCTTCTTGAACCAATTTATGAATTATGACAGATAACTTATTTTAGTGCAAGAATTCTTTGGTAAGCTAATGAGAACACTAAATCATGTTAAGTCGATAGAATGCATTTAGTTTTCTCTTAATTTCTGACTTCGTCTTCATTTGGCATGTATTTTTCTTCCGAAAATTGATGCGTTCAGAGTGGAAGAACAAGTTTGAGAGATTCGATGTATCGCTTTATGTGCATTCCAGACAAATTCTCCCCTGAGCACCTTCTTAATCATCTCAAGATAAGTTCTGAGCACGAAGCATTGGAGCTGGTGGACAGAGTTGAAGCTTCAATGTATGCATGGAGACGTAAAGCTTGCCTTAGCCATTCCAAATCATCATGGAGCAAAGTGAAAGAACTCATGTCTGAATCTGACCGGATTGACAAAAACTACATGTTAGCTGAGAGAGCTGAGACTTTATTATTTTGCTTGAAGCAAAGATATCCTGAACTTTCTCAGACTTCCTTGGACATATGCAAGATTCAGTACAACCGAGTAAGTTTTATCAGTTATCTGTAGATTCATATCCTGAACATTCTATAGCACTCTTTGATCAAATACTGTGAATCTAAAGGTTGAATACTTCAACTAGTGACAGGAAGTTTGATGCCCCATTTAGAAATTTTTCAGTAAGAACAAAAATTATGTTGCGCAGGATGTAGGGAAAGCAATACTGGAGGGCTACTCAAGAGTGTTAGAAGGTCTAGCATTCAACATTGTGGCTTGGATTGAAGATGTTCTTCGTGAAGATAAGGCAATGAGGAAGCAAGGTACATAGAAATTCTATTTTTCTGGTTAATTGTAAACTTCAAGAATGCAGAGAGTTTTGGATGATGATGATGATATGAAAAGCTTCTCACTTTCATTTGTATGATGAAGCCTAAATTTTAGCACTCAGTAGAAGGATTTAAGCCATATTTATATCAACTTTTTGTTGATCATCTGAAATGTTTGGTGATACTACATATTAGCATGTGGGCTGCATATCGAGTTTTTATTTATTGTTGTTAACAAAAAAAACCTTTTCTGGATTCACAAACAGTGACTCTATGTTAATCAATGTATGTAGTCCAAAGTTGAAACTTCAAGGAGTTGACCATGTGAGAAGAAAGCATGTGATATATAATTAGATATGATAATTAATATGAAATTATTAAATTCTTACTATTTTCCTTTTTAATTCCAGTCCTCTTTTTAATTAAAAAAATATGCACAATTTTTTCAAACTATAATATGACTAAAATGCTCTCAAATGCGGGTTTTTTATTGTTAAATATAAACGACAAAAGATATGTTGAGTTTTTTTTTCAATATTGAAGAGTTTTTGTGGATAACTATAAATTAAATTTATTACAAGCTTTCAGAATTGATTTTTCCCCTAAAAGTTAAGAAACGCATACTTCTATTCATTTGAAGTTGAAATGAAATGAATTATCTATGTGTAACGTAAATAAAACTCTAATAACAGTGTTATTAATAAACCGTATACAATCGTACAATGATATAATATGTTAAGTTATATAGTAACAAAAGATTAATTTCTTAGTCACTTATGTTGACTTGTGCTTAAATATGAGGCTGCGTACGCTTAGTAGAAAATATAATGATTAATAATTGCAAGAGTGTATTTATATTTAATATGCGTGCGGTGAATAGGATTGCCTCCTGTAAGTTAATAGATTACATGTGCTTTAAAAAAATAAATAAATAATGAGGACGAGATATGTGGCAAAAAGAAAAAAAAGCTTCCAAAATTTATGGGTTTGGAAAACATCAAATTGATGGATGATTATTAGCGAGACATGCAAGCAGTGAGAATTCAAATCGGCTAATGCTGGGATATTTTTTTTTCTACGATAAAAATATTTTGACCAGCATGGCAATATACAGTCATATTTATGACATTTGACCACCAAAAATTGCCTTTTAATACTTTATTCAGCTATTAAAAAGGGAAGAGCCGGTTGCATTGATGGAGTCTTGTTCAAAATCCGATATAGTATATTATTTACATTTAAATGTTTAATAATGTTGTACTGCAAATATGAAGTGCAGGATATTTTTTAAGATTTGATGAGGGTATTTTTGGAAAACAGTGCTATTTTTTAACCATTAACTAACTTAACTAAATTTCTTATTTTTTCTAAATTAGTCAATTGAGTCTTATAATCAGAACCAGAGATAGTACTACCTCTTGTCTTAATTATAAGAACAAATTGACTAATTTGAGGACATTAAGGAAATAGGTTGAGCTAATTATTTGTCCTAAATAGGTGTTGTCTTTCTTAAAACATCTGTACTAATCAAGTATATTAACTAAAACTATAACTATTAGAAGGATTATCTTGGAAAAACTTGAGTAAATATAAAAGACAAAATGGATTGGGATCTTATATTTAGGATCAAAATAAAAGTCAAATAAGATGTTATATTAAGGACCAGACATAGTATATGCTAACTTCATATTTGTCTTGAATTTATTTAAATTTTCTCTTCAAGTTGCACTTACTGAGTACTCATTTCAAACCTTGAATTATATTTTGTGGTCGATATCCTTACAAGCACTCACGAGTAGGGAGACTGGGGGACTATTTATTGTTATTAATGATGTTTTATAGAAAAGTTTTCTTATTGCTTGAAATTAAAAATTATTGCTATGATTTTTTCCAGAAAAAATTAATGATATGATGTTATCTTAAGAATAAAAATTGTTTTTATCTTTCACTTAAAATATTCATTTATTAATGGATTATAACATTCTTGTATTTAACATATACTAAATAAACTGGTTGGATTATAACCCTTGATAGGTTAATATAAGGAAGGGTGAATAAAACTGAATCGTAATGGACCACTAAATCAAACTAAATGCATTTTTAATTTTTTGATTTAATTATTTTTGGATTTGCTTTAGTTTTTATTTTTCTTAAATGTGGTGTTCGACAATAAAAGAATAATTTGGTTTCAAACCCAAAAACTGAAATACTATCTTCGGTCCTAATTATAAGAGTTAGTTGACTAATTTGAGGAGATTAAGGAAAGAAATTAAGTTAGTTATTTGTAATAAATATATGTTATTTTTCCTAAAATATTCTTACTAATTAAGTGTATTGGTTAGAGCTATCATTGTTAGAATAACTACCTTGAAAAAAATACATATGTATGAGAGACAAAATAGATTGAATTCTTATATTTAGGATCAAAATAAAAGTTAAACAAGATCTTATATTAAAAACCGGAAGTAGTATATGAGTGTATATAATATTTAATATTTTTTGTCAACGTATGTAATGTTTTATATATTATGAAACTAAGTTGGCAATATCTTAACAGGCCCAAGTATGTCTGGTTAAGACAAAAATACGGCCAAGTGTACTTCTAAACCCAACCCAATATATCTTAAACTTTAAGGTTGCTTTTGATAGCAAGCATTAAAAATTAGAAATTAAAATTGAGATTAAGAAAATCTATTAAAAGAGTGTTTAACATAAGAAATTATTTGTTATATGGAATTAGCAAAACTCATATGTGTGATTGAGGAATACCATGAGAAGAAGTGATATCCCTTAATCCCATCTTTATAATCTTTATAAGTTTACCTAATCGTATGTAACAAACAATTATTTATACTAAATAAAATAAATTTTTTAATTACAATGTTTTGTACCAAACCCACCTAGCTTTTGTCTCTCAGTGTTAGTATCGGCCCAGCAGAATGCTTTTGCCGTTGGTGTTCTTTCTGATCTCTATGCATTTCACCGCTCCACCATAAATTCTCTCTGCCCCTACCCTACTCCAACTTGGTAGTTTCCACCGCCTGTCCAGGATTGAGCCCTGGGATTTGACGATGAACTTAAAAAGCCACCTATAGACGCTGTACGTCCAATCATTTCGGATAACACTTGCATCCTCTGTCTTATCGCGGTTGTTGGCACAGAGTTAGCCGATGCTTATTTCCCAGATACCGTCATTCCTTTCCACACCCAAAACTCACAGCCGCATCCTCTGCCTCACCACCTCACAATTCCAGAAACACTCCCATGTCTTTGTCTTGTAGATTAATCTCAAGTGCCATCAGCTAGCTATCTCCCTCACACTCTTTTACTCTTCCTTACTATCAGGGTATCGCCTCCCCCTCTCTGCCCACATTGATTATTTTGTCCGTCTTTGCGGTGTCTCTAATTATTGCTTCTTCTCCACTTCATCTCCACATTGATGCTTTTGTTCTTCTTCTCTGCAGTCTTTGTGCTGTTTGTGCTCACTACGGCGTTGTGCTTACTGCTTCATCTACCTCACACTTGGGATCTCACAGCAAGTTTAAACAGGAAAAAAAGCTAACAATGCATTAATCGATTGTTAAGCCAACCGAACCAATTTCCTATTTTGTTTGTGATGAAACTCAGTAGCAAACTTTATTCTAATGTACGTGATCCTAAATATAAATATAAAATCACTACAAACTAAATTGTACCACAATTCCGATCCTAATTATAAAATTTTATTTGTAATTTATAAACGAGATCTTATATATAGGATTAAAATTTAAGATTGAAGGTAGTATCGTGATATCATCAAAACCTTTAAATCCAATGATTAAATGCTCAAGATTGTGAGTCCAACTTTTTATTTTAAATATAAAGGATATAATAAATATGTGAATTTCTCCCTAATATGACCAAAAAGTATGAAGGCACATCTATGAATATAAAAAAAATATTTATTATAATTATTTTATTTTAATGAATTAATTTGCATTTTAAATATTTTTAATTAAAACAAATTAATTTATGAGAACATTTAAAATTATTTTTAAAAAAAAATTGGTCAGTTAGTTGCCGCGGCTCTCTTGTAAAATATTTTTTAAAATATAATTTATTTTAAAAATTCATTGTATTTATAAATCATGAATCATATAATTTACTATTAATTGGGATTTTTTAATTTTTTTTATGCTGGAATAGTGAGGGAGAAAACCCCCAATACCCATTAAACCATTATAGTTTTGTGTTCCGAAAAAAAATCATTATAGTTTTAATATAGAGACGGAGAAAAAATTAAAAGGATAGGCAAACGGAACGGAAGAGAGAGAAGGGGGTGGAAACGCAGACTTGCATTGCGTTTAATGGAAGAGCAATTAACGCAATACGGACTTCCTCGAGGAGGCAGGGGCAGAGGCTGCTGAGAATCGGGAGGGTGGAGGTCGCGTGGGACAGAGAAAGAGAGCTGAGGAGCAGAGAGCACGACCGTTTTCAATGGTCGCAAAGATTGAAGGAGGCAGAGGAAGAAATCACATATCAGAAGTGAAGCACATAGAGGTATCCTCCTCTAGCCCGATTCTTCTCCAACATGCTCTGGTCGTGCTGGGGATTTGGGTAAATCTGGATACATGCTCTCCCGATGGTGTTTATCTCTTGCGAATTGACATTTTAGTTCCCCCCCCCCCTTCATGCTTGGATTGGATGATGGATTGTGCTTCTTGATCTCAAAGCTGAGGAATAACTAGATTCTTTAGTTCTGTTATTACCCAGTTCTGGAAGGATTTTTTTAGACTGATTATTTGAGTCCCCTCCCTTTGTAGTTAAATTTCTTTGCAATTGGTGTGGATTGAGACCGACGGGCTTAAACTCATGATTGTTCGACCTTGTTGTATTGCGAGTGTTTGCTGAGTATAGAAGCTGGTCTTCCTCCAGGACCTGGTTCAATTTACTTGAGTTCTTGCTATGTTTGAAGTGGTGGTTTGACCTTCTGTTTTCTGATATCTTTAACACTGTAATCCAGTCAAACTTGGTTTTGTTTTTATTTAAAATTTTAACTTTTTAACTTGTACGCTAATCATTTCAAGTGATAATGGCGTGAACTTGGTTTGGCTTTAATTTGATTCAATTTTTCCCTGTGCAACCAAGTTAGCTATTTCTAGCATAATTTTGCTTTGGATTCTGAT